GCACCATCAGTCTTACCGCTGCTATTTAGGCCGCCACAGTGGGTTGCTCGGATCCCAGCACTGGGAATCAATAAGTCGGACGTCGACTCAGAAAAATAATTAGAAAGGAGGTTCATCTACAATGAAGGGAAAAAAACAGCCTAAGAAGGCCGAGTATACTCAAAATCAGAACCCATCAGCAACAGAACAAGCCCTGATGGAAAAGGACTCATCAGCAACCGAACAAGCCCTGATGGAAAAGGACTCATCAGTAACGGAACAAGCCCTGATGGAAAAGGACTGTGTTCCATTATCTGAAGTAGGCTTTAAAAGGTGGATGATAAGAAACTTCTGGGAGTTAAAGGAACTTGTTCTAACCCAATGTAAAGAAACTAAGAACTTGGAAAAAAGGTTCGATGAAATGTTGAAAAGAATAGACAATATAGAGAGAAATACAAATGAACTTATGGAGTTGAAAAATACAACACGAGAACTTAGTGAAATTTGTACAAGCTTAAACAGCCGAATGGATCAAGCAGAAGAAAGGGTATCAGAGGTCGAAGATCAACTTAATGAAACAAAACAACAAGACAAGAATAGAGAAAAAAGGATAAAAAGGAATGAGCAAAGTCTCCAAGAAATATGGGACTATGTGAAAAGACCTAATATACGCTTGATTGGTGTACCTGAATGTGACGGAGAGAATGAATTCAAGCTGGAAAATACTCTCCAGGACATTATCCAGGAAAATTTTCCTAATTTAGCAAAGCAGGACACTATTCAACCCCAGGCAATAGAGAGAACACCACAAAGATATTCCTCAAGAAGACCAACCCCAAGGCACATAATCGTTAGATTCACCAAGATCGAAACGAAGGAGAAAATATTAAGGGCAGCCAGAGAGAAAGATCAAGTTACCCATAAAGGTAAGCCTGTTAGGCTTACAGCAGATCTCTCAATGGAAACCCTACAAGCTAGAAGAGAGTGGGGGCCAATATTCAATATACTTAATCAACAGAACTTTCATCCCAGAATATCATATCCTGCCAATTTAAGCTTTACATTTCAAGGAAAAATAAAATCTTTCAGGAACAAGCAAGTACTCAGAGATTTTATTACCACCAGGCCTGCTCTACAAGAACTTCTAAAAGAAGCATTATACACAGAAAGGAACAACCAGTATAACCCTTTCTAAAAATACACCAAAAAGTAAAGAGCATTAACATAAAGAAGAATTTTTATAAACGAAAGGACAAAATAGCCAGTTAATATCAAATGGCAGCAACCCTAAATTTAAATTGACCAAATCTCCCAATTAAAAGATACAGACAAAATCTAACGGTATATCCAAAGATATACATAGACTCAAAATTAAGGGTTGGAAAAAAAAATGTACCAACCAAATGGAGAGCAAAAATAAATAAATAAAAAGCAGGAGTTGCAATTTTCACATTTGACAAAATAGATTTCAAAGTTACAAGGATACAAGGGTAAAAGGATTAATGTAATAATAAGAGATCTTAACACCCAGATACATAAGACCCATAATGAGATTTAGATTCAACGAGACAAAAAATTGATAACGATATCCGGGACTGGAACTAAGATCCAGAACAAATAAACTCAATAGAGCTCTCCATTTTAAACATACAAAATATATATTATCCACAAAATCTAACGATATATCTAAAGATATACAAAGACTCAAAACAAGGGGATGGAAAAAAAACTCACCAACCAAATGAAGAGCAAAAATAAATAAATAAAAAGCAGGAGTTGCAATTCTCACATTTAATAAAATAGATTTCAAAGCTACAAGGATGCAAGGGTAAAAGGATTAATGCAACAATAAGAGATCTTAACACCCAGATACATAAGACACATAAAGAGATTTAGAGTCAACGAGACAACAAATTGATAACGATATCCAGGACTTGAACTCAGAGCCAGAACAAATGAACACAATAGAGGTCTCCATTTTAAACACATAAAATATGCATTAACCACTTTAAACACTCAAAATATTGATCGGCCATCATTGAAACCCATTTTAGGAATGAAGTAATATTCCTTTTTCCCTCTTTTTCTTTTTTTTTCCTTCTTTAAAAAAAAAAAAAAACAAATAACAAATAATTAAATGTCTTTAATAAAGATGTCTTTAACATCTTTCTTCTTATTTTAGTTTTGATAAGTTGTACTTTTCCAGGGATTTTCCCGTCTCATCTAAACTTCCTTTAGCATGTTCCTTGCGACCTAGTTTTAACGTCCACAGGTCTCCAGCGCAGTCCCCTTTCCTTCTCCCGCGCAGGTGCCCCCTTCACTGTGTTTTCGGTCAGCATGATCAGAGATTTACAAGTTTGGGACATTTTCTTTTTTTTCTTTTTTTTTGAGATGGAGTTTCGCTCTTGTCACCCGGGCTGGAGTGCAATGGCGCAATCTCGGCTCACCGCAACCTCCGCCTCCTGGGTTCAGGCAATTCTCCTGCCTCAGCCTCCTGAGTAGCTGGGATTACAGGCACACGCCACCGTGCCCAGCTAATTTTTGTGTTTTTAGTAGAGACGGGGTTTCACCATGTTGACCAGGATGGTCTCGATCTCTTGACCTCCTGATTCACCCGCCTCGGCCTCCCAAAGTGCTGGGATTACAGGTGTGAGCCACCACACCCGGCGGGACATTTTCAAAGAATTGGGAGCTGGCTTTTCTGGCCGTCAGTGGCAGGTGTGTTCTGAAGGTTTCTCCTCCCTGTGGCTCTAGCCCCTCTCTAAGAATGCTGCAGACACCTCTTCTCAGGTCTCCCGAGGAAGAACACTCTCCATTTCTCTTGTTCGAGTCTGTGTTTATTGCACCTGTATCCTTGGAGGGTATTTCCACTAGGAGTCGAGTTTAGCTTGGCAGTGAATCATTTCACTTCGCAATTAAATTCTTTCGCCATTTTGAAGATGCCGTTCCCTTGTGACTCGGCTGTTTGTTACATTTCGACGTGAAAGTCAGGTGTTGGTATGATCGCCGTCCTTTTGAAGGCAATGTGGCTTTTTCTTCTCCCGTTATTAAGTGTCCTGTTCTCCTTGGTTTTCGGCATTTGTACTGTGCTGCGCCTGGGTGCAGGTTTCTGGCATCCGCCCAGCTTGGGTTTGGAACGCTTCTGGGGCCAGCACTTTTTATCTGTTTTATTATTTTATTTATTTTATTATTTATTTACCTCAACATCTTGAGACGTGCCATAAAATCTATCATAACCTGGTGGCAGGATCCAGGAATTCAATCACAGAAAATAGGGAGGGTCCCGTTACTGTGAGGCTAGTGAGAAACGGTGTTTTCAGCTACTGATCCAGCCACACGTGGCCAGGGCCTGGGCACGGCGCTGCCGGTGTGTTGGCCAGTGGTCCACAGCGATCGAGTGAGGCTGGAAGGCTGCATGGAGCAGGAAGCAGGTGCAGCCTGAGGTCATCACGTGGCAGAGTCTGGGGCTAGGTGAGTGGGGAGTGAGAGGACTCTGAGGGTCTGAACAGGGTGGGCAACTGGTGCCAGCTGCAGCCAACAGCTGGCTGTTTCTTTCACTCTCCTGCCTTCCTGTTCAAGATGCTGCAGCCCTGAGCTTGGATGGGTTAAGGAAGCCCTCAGCGGCTGTGATGCACAGAAAATAAAAATTTAGCTTTTAATGCAAGAACTCAAGTGATGGTTTGCTTTTTCTTTCAAATGTTCCTGCTATTATACCTTGGATTTTGTCTATTTTATCTAGTTCCCAATTTATTTCTTTTTTCTTTATTTTTTTTGAGATGGAGTCTTGCTCTGTTGCCCAAGCTGGAATGCAGTGGCACCATCTCGGCTCACCAAAACCTCCACCTCCCTGCCTCAAGCAATTCCCCTGCCTCAGCCTCCCAAGCATCTGGGATTACAGGCAGGCACCACCATGTCCCACTAATTTCTATTTTTACCGGAGATGGGATTTCAGCATGTTGGTGAGACTGGTCTTGAACTCCTGACCTCAGGCAATCTGCTCACCTAAGCCTCCCAAAGTGCTGGGATTACAGGTGTGAGCCACTGCACCAAGCCTCCCCCAGTTTATTCTTTTACATCTCCAATTATTTTAAACTATGCATCACACCACGCCTCTCCAAAGTGCTATTGTTCCAAGGTCTCATGGAGCGAATTCTGCCCTTTGCTGCCTACGAGGGGTTGCCCTCAGTGGGTGTGTTACCTGATGAGTTTTGAAACAGTGAATCCTGAAACTGTCTTCTGGGAGCCATATTTCAGGGGATTCCTTTCCCTTCATATCCAGGTCCCATCCTCTTTCCCTGGGGGCCCCAGGGATGTCACTAAGGCCAGACCACACTTTGCTGTAATGTGTTGGCTCAGCACCTCTGCAGTTAACAGACAGTGTCTGTTCCAGCCCCAAAGCCAGCTGAAGGTCAGGCCACTGTGTGCATCTCAGGCAGGATGTTTTTCTTCCTACCCAGAACCCAGGCTGAGACAGGCAAAATCCCTTTTCATTCCCTGTCCCGCCGGGCAGAGGTTTCTGTTTCCCCCCTGCACAGAGAGCATGGCCCGCCCAGCGTCTTGCCTCCCCCAGGGTCTCAGTTTTATGCACCCCCTCCCCGCCCCGCCGCCCCGTGGCCAGAGCTTGTCCCGGAGACCTGCAGCTAAGCACAGCAGACCCCCGCAGCGCTGCAGCCCCTCAGTTCTGGATCCCAGCGCTCTCTTCGTTGGCGGCGCCAATTCACCCCCCAGAGATTCCCTCTTGCTTGTTGTCAATTCGACGTACTTTTCCAAGAATTCAACTTGGAATTCTTGTAGCTCAAACTTTTGTCAAAAATAAAAGCCTCTTCAAATTCTCTCTTATCTTTTATTTCAAAGGGTATTAAATGATGGTACTCAAGGCTGGGCGTGGTGGCTCCCACCTGTAATCCTGGCACTTTGGGAGGCCAAGGCGGGTGAATCACGAGGTCAGGAGTTTGAGACCAACCTGGCCAACATGGTGAAATTCTGTCTCTACTAAAAAAAAATACACACACACACACACACATATATATATATATAATTAGCTGCGTGTGGGGGTGCACGCCTGTAATCCCAGCTATTTGGGAGGCTGAGGCAGGGGAATTCCTTGAACCCAGGAGATGGAGGTTGCAGTGAGCTGAGATTGCACCATTGCACTCCAGCCTGGGCAACAAGAGTGAAACTCCGTCTCAATCAATCAATCAATCAAAGCAGTACTCAAGATAAAATCTGGAACTTGCCTTAGTCTCTCTGCCCTCTGCTGGTGAGGCCTCACCCTCTGAATTGTTTCAAAAGCCCAAGTTCACCCTGCATGGCCTCTCCCATCTCAGAAGGGACAGGGACAGCATGGTGCTCTCTAGCACTGGCAGCTCCTCCATTCTTCATCCCCAGGGACTGGGGATGAGGACGGGCCGGCCGACTTCCTCCTTTCCCACTTGGGATGCTGAGAGGCGAACTGTCTGCATTCCCTAGGAGAGATTTGACAGGTATGTTAGCATGCAAGGAGGCATGAAGGCGGCAGAGACTCCACATGAATCCCCGTGACTGCAGCTCACGGCTGCTCCCTGCTGGCTGCGTGTGGCCACCGAGGAGGTGTGCCAGCCGGACCCTCTTCCATGGAGTGCATGGAGGAGCCTCCTTGGTTCTCTTGAGCCTGGGGCTTCCTCAGGCTGCTCCCGACAGGGACAGGGCAGGAGAGGGCACTCGGGCTGGCTGTTTTTCTGCCCATGCAAGAGCCCTCGGAGGGCAGCTTTGACTTGAAGGCAACCTGCTGGCTGGCTGAGGCTTTTTCAGGACAGTACTGACGTTGGAAACTCTTTCTATGCAACATCCTTCTCCTGTCCTTCTCTCCAAGAGGACCCAAGCAGGCTGTGAGCCAAGAAAACAGACAGCAAATGGGATTTTGAGACCAGCCAGCCGCAGCCTGCCTGGAGTGGGAGGGCCACCTGGAGTGCAGCAGGGGGCCTATATAGTCCCCGGCTTGAGGCAAGGGCTGGTCACAGAGGGTTCCCTGATGGTGGCCTGAGTGAGCATCCCAGGGAGGACTACACCTTAGCCCGTGTGATGGCTCAGCGGACTGGAGGGTCTTGGGGGCGAATGCCTACAGGGACAGCCGCGTGCTAGCCATCACCAAGTCACAGTAACCCCACAGGGGATGATGAGGACTCCAGGAGGTGCATGAGCAGTCAGGTCAAGGCTGAAGCAAGGGGCCCTGCGGAGGACGGGCAAAGCTGCAGGGAAGCTGTGATGCTCAGCCACGGCAGGTCCAGTCCCTGAGGGGAGACCCAGTGACACAGGAGTGGGCATCAGGCAGTGCCTGCAGACCCCTCAGCCCACATCTGCAGGTGCATCTGTGCAGGTGGCAGTCACCCCACTCTGGGACACACTCCGCCCTTCTGGTCTTGGGGGGTGATGCAGCATGGGTTTTATTATTTCTGATGTGCTGTCTTGACCCAGTTTTGAGCCCCCAGAGGCCGGTCAGTTCCCTCCTTGAGCAACCAGCTAAGTCCAACCCAACCACTTCCTGATCGGCCCCTCATGCTGCCGGGCGGCGGTCGCAGCCGGCTGCTCCCCGTTCCTGGGTGTTTCACGTGGCACTGCACTGCAGCAGCCTTCCTCATTTGGAGCTGTAAGTGACAAAGCACTCTGCCTTTCATCTCTAGAGTGTCAGTGTGCCGTGCCATGCCTTACATCAATAGGACTTTCAGATCCTATGTAACGGATGCCCAGGCCAGCCCCAGGAGGACTAGGCAGGGTGTCCTTCTGCCATCATGCACGGTTGATCCGGGGCGAGGGTCCGGTGGCCAGTGCTGGCTCGTCATCTTGCCATGGATTAAACATTTTCTTAGGCACAATTTTACTGCTTTTGACTCGTTACACGTAGAACTCATTGTTATTATTTCAGTTTCTGTGATAACTGGTGGTTGCCAGCACATAAAACCAGTTTTATGTCCAATCACTTACCCAAAGCATCTTACTGGTTCTGTAGGTTATTAGGTGAACAAAGCCTTTGGATCTTCTCCGTGGGCACCCCTGTCTCCTGCAGGGATGGGGAGAACGTCAGCCCTTCTGGCCTAACGTGCACAGCCTTGACTGCACCTGCCTGCCCTCACCCGCCATGAGACTCCCCAAATGCAGGCTGACTGGTAGCAGCGAGATAGGCACCCCTGGCTTTTTCCTGACTTGAATGCTGATTGTTGCTATTTCGTCAATTAATATGCTATTTGTCCTTTGCATAAAGTAGGTGTGATTTTTTAGGTGCATTATTTTAGTTCCATATTTTATTTTACTTTATTTTTTTGAGACAGAGTCTCACTGTGTCACTCAGGCCGGAGTGCAGTGGCGTGATCTCAGCTCACTGGAACCTCTACCTCCCGGGTTCAAGCGATTCTCCCGCCTCCGCCTCCCGAGTAGCTGGGACTACAGACGTGCACCACCACACCCAGCTAATTTTTGTATTTTTAGTAGATACGGGGTTTCACCATGTTGGCCAGACTGGTCTCGAACTCCTGACCTCAAGTGATCCTCCCACCTCGGCCTCTCAAAGTGCTGGGATTACAGGTGTGAGCCACCACACCCGGCCCCCTTTTATTTTAAGTACAAGATTTTATGAGAAATGGATGCTAAATTTTGTCAAGTACTTTTTTCACGAATCACAACATAATTACATGATGTTTATACTTCAGTGTTTTGATGTAATATATTATATTATACTTCCAAATATTAAGTCATGATGGCATGTTGATCTTTAATAAATGACTGCATGAATTTATGGTATTTTATTTGGATTTTTGCATCCATTTTACTAAATAAATTGGAGTATTTTTTCTATGCTATATCAAAATTTGATATGAAGTTACATTAGCTATAAATGTGAATTGGAAATTTTTTCATCTTTTTCTATTTCCTGGAATATTTTATAAAATACTAGAAGCAACTGTTTCTTACCAATTAGGAAGAAGTCAGCTTGAAAACCGTTTGGTCTTGGCATACTTTGCACTGACAAACGCTGAACGGACTTGCCAATTTCTTCCCTTTTTATTGATTTACCCAAGTTTCCTCTCAAATGTTCAGATTTCTTGCCATAAAAGAGTACATAATATTACATAACTCACTTAATCTTTTTATTTTCTTATAGGCATGTCTGTGTTAAAATATGTTCCTCCTTTCTAGAGGCAGAATCAGCCTTAGAGGCTCGAAGCTCACATCCCACAAATGGAATGTGGCACAGTGACACCGTGTGACTTTAGACAGGAGGTTGCAAGGAGCACTGCAGCTTACGTAGTGCTCTCCGAGATCCCGTGTGGAGGGAGAGGCCACACGCCAGGATACCCAGCGAAGACCTGCAGAGGGTTCCACACACGTGCCGAGAACCCAAGGCCTCCTGCACCACTGTGGCAACGGGTCCTCCAGCCCCCGCTGAGCCTGCAGACCGCTTCACCCCAGACAACATCACTCAGCGGGACCACCTGTGCTGAAGGCCAAAATGACTCCATCTGGGATGCTAAGCCACCACGTGGGCTCCCGATGAACCCTAGTTCTGGGCCCTTAGGTCAAAACAACCTTCACGTTATTATAAACACAGAATCCTGCCCTTAAGCCAATTACTGAGTCAAGGCTGCAGAGCAGGTGACATTCTTGCCTTTTCCTGAGGGGGGGACCAGCCATCCTATGCACCCCTTCTGAAGCTCCTGCTTCCTTCCCCTCTGCTACCTAAGCCCCGGGTCCGAGGGTAGCAATGCGTGGATCTCACGGCTGCCCACACCAGGGCTTCTGTTTCCCACACACAATGGAATGATTTTTTCCTGAGAAACAGGGTTTGCCGGCTGGTCGCTTTGGCCTCTCAGCTCCCTGAGCCTTTGTGGGTAAGTGGCTTAGACCTGCTGGCCACCGAGCACCACCCAGCAGGCGTTTCTGAACGACCCATGGAAACTGTGATCATAAGCCACAGGGCTCCCGAGGGACGTCAGAAACACCCTGCAGCCCCCACCTGGTGCCTTGGGAGGCTCCACCGGAGGAGGTCAGCGCCACATGGAGAAGTCAGCACCCTGTGAACGCCACTCAGGAGACGCCATGTATGCTGTGCAGGTGACAGCCCCACAGAGCTCCAGCCTCGGGGGTCCCCATCTTGGACCTGCAGCCCAGTGACTTCTGAACACTCATATGACACACTCAGAAGAGAATTACCCCAAAGAGCTCTTCCCGGACTCTTGACCCTATAACGTGCCAAAATGTGGCAGCTGTGTTTGGCTGTAAGGTGGGGAACGTGCTGTGTCCACAGAGGCGGGAGCACCTCCTTCCAAACCACAAACCTAGCGTTCGCCACAGAACCCACGCCACCGCCAGGCACTGCTGCAAGCAGTCTGGGAAATGCACTTGGCTTTCTAGTCTCTGCGGGAGGGCAAGGTGCGCCCACAGAGGACAGAACGGATGTGGCGGGGCCAGCGTGGGGACATCCCAGTCCCTGAGTCTCTGCTGAGCCAGCATGCGCAGGTGGGCTAGCCCAGGCAGGGCTCCTTGCTGTCTCGGGGAGAGCTGGCCTTTCCACAGCACTAAGGACTGAACACATGACCCATGCACAGGAGGGCTCTGGAATGGCACCTGTGTGTCTAATTCAAAAACCGTTTCACTTTACACACCCTGTACACAGTGCACCAAGAGCCTGGCTCCCAGGCTCACAGCACATCCGTGCATATGAGGAGCATGTATACACATGCATGCATGCGATGTGCTGTGATGTGTTGTGTGCATGTGCACAAATGTGTGTATTTGTGTCTATGATGTGTGTGCATGTGTGGTGTGTGTGTGGTGTGAATGTGTGCACATGTGGTAGGTGTTCATGTATGTGTAGTGTGTGGGTGTGTGGTAGGTGTGCACGTGTGTGAGGGTGTTCATGTGTGTATAGTGTGTGGGTGTGTGGTAGGTGTTCGTGTGTGTCCGTGTGGCTGTGTGGTAGGTGTGCATATGCGTGGTGTCTATGGGTGTGTGGTAGGTGTGCGTATGTGTGGTGTCTTTGGGTGTGTGGTAGGTGTGTGTGGTCTCTGTGGTAAGTGTGCATGTGTGTGGGTGTGTGATAAGTGAGCATGTGTGTGATGTGTGTGTGCTAGGTGTGCATTTGCAGTGTGTCTGTGTGTTTGGTAAGGATGTATGTGGTGTGTGTTTGGCTTTGGTAGGTCTGCATGCATGTGTGTTTGGAAGATGTGCACTTGTGGTGTATGTCTATGTGTTTGGCAGGTGTGTTTGTGTGTATGTGTTTGGTGTGTGTATGTAAGGAGGGGTTCACAGTGCACTGGCATGGCCTGGTGAAACCCATGTTTGGAATATGGGGTTCCAGGCTGAGTGTGATCTGGGCAGGCCCGCCTCCCACCTCAGCCAGCGGGTCCTGAGACCCCGGTCTCCCTGGATTCTGGCATCATGAAGCCCTTATTAGGGAGACCATCTATGCTCTGTGTGGCTCCCCAGAGGGGCTACACCCGCCAGCCAGTGGGCTTCTTCAGAGCTCAGGACTGGCCCCTGCCAACCCGACCCTGGGACCTGTGGCCCACAGCACCCCTTTCCTAGGCCCCCCACTGTAGCCACACTGGATCCAAGGGAGGTGCCCTGCAGGGCCAATGAGGCTTATCTGGGAAAGGGACTGGGACACGCTGCCTGCGGTTACTGGAGACTTCTCTTTGTGCCTCAGTTTCCCCATCTGAGCAGGCTTCTGGTAGCTGCGCAGTGTGTGTGGAGAGTTTCTGCTGCACTGGGCCTGGGAAACCGGGCAGTGACTCGAGCAGCAGAAGGCAGGAGGCACCCAGGCTGCCCCCAGCCCCAAGGATGAAGCCAGAGTCCCCACTGCTCCATTCCAGGACACTCATGAAGGCATGCTGAGGAAGACTTTTCTTCAGGACCACTCCATCAGTGTGGGCCCCACTGACACACATCTTGCAGTGGGGCAGAGTGTGGGCTCAACTCTGAATATGGCCCCAGCTCGTGCAGATTCTCAGCCAAGGCTCAGGATGAAAACCGCCAAGAGGAGCCTTGGGGGGCGAGGGTTCTGGCTAAACCCTCCTGAGGACTCCTTGAAGACAAGGCCAGGTGATCAGCCAGGAGGTTAGTGATGGGAAAAGTCCCAGGGCCCTCACCCAGTTATGCTTTCGGGAGAGCTGAGGTTGAGCCTGGCGAAGGGTCCTGCCCACAGCCACTGCTGCAACCCTGCATCTTAGCGGGTGGTGCTGGGCCACAGCCCCCAAGGCAGAAGGGGCTGGGCTTGCATGGCTGCCCCCAGGGACTGGACCGCTGCCCTCACTGCCTTCCAGCACATTCTTTCCCGCCCAACCTTCCAAGATGTTTATCTTTCTGTAAACAGGAAAAGAACACGTCAATTGCAACTTTAATCAGCAACACCTGGTCCCTAATGCGAGTCTGTTAGAATGCACACAACAAGGTGGATTCCAAGCGGATCTTCCCAAGTGCAGAACAAAGGCCAGGTGAGATCAGCCATTCCTCGGCCCACCTGAGACCTGACGTCAGCAGGATTAGCTCTCCCTTCCCTCCCGTCGCCCCTGGCAATGTTTGCCCTCAGATCACTGCCGGCCACTCCTTAAAGAAACCAATCTGCCTAAACCCCTGCCCCTCTTCCCACGATCCTTCTCTGGGTTAAAGAACCGTGTTTACCACATGTTCTCACTCATAGGTGGGTGTTGAACGATGAAAACACATGGACACAGGGAGGGGAGCCTCACACACTGGGGTCTGTTGTGGGGGGCAAGGGGAGGGACAGCGGGGAGTGGGGAGGGTGAGGAGGAATAGCATGGGGAGAAATGCCAGGCATAGGTGATGGGGGATGGAGGCGGCAACCCACCTTGCCATGTACGTACCTGTGCAACAATCCTGCATGAACTGCACATGTACCCCAGATCCTAAAGTACAATAAAAGAAAAAAGAAAGAAACATGTTTATACTGAGCCCCCCGCCAAGACCTCTTCAGAGGACTTGGGCCATGGAAGCCTCTAGCCCCACGTTTTTCCCGGCCCCGCCCTCAAGCTGTGGCTCAACAACTTCCAGCTGACAGAGACCCCGTTTAGTCTCCACTCGGCTGATGGCCTTGGGTAGGGGCTGAGAAGCCCCATCGGATGTGAGAGGAATCAGACATTCAGGCTGCAGGTTTTGAGCTAAATCGACTGAGCAGGATTCTTGCTAAAACTGAATATGGAGGAAATGCACAGATAGACCCCCAGCGAGGTTCAGGAGCTTGACTACAGATTGGCCAAGCAAACCATCCTCATCAGGTGCTGGATGCGGTACTGTGGGGAGGGGCAGCCACCTGAAGCATTCAGGGTCTTCCCACGGCCAGAGTGGACCCGGAGGAGCCACCCTGAGCCACAGCAGAGTCCAGCTGGCGTGGGTGGTGGCAAGGAAAAGGGAATGGCAGGGACTCTGTGGCCCAGGAGGCAGGAAGGAAGGGCTGGGGCTCGATGGACCAGAGTCAACAGAGGCTCCTGCCCCAAAGGCAGGGTCCTCTCCCCTCCAATTGGCTGTGTGCCAAGGGTGGCTGGGAAGCAGGCTGGCACTCACCCTGCTGGGACTGAGAAAACAAGCATTTTATCTGAAAAATGTGAGTCCTTTCTATTATCAGGCTCAGAGAGCGCTGACGGGAGAGAGCAGGTGCATCCTGCTACCGCCTTGTCCCGGGAGTGCCACGGCCTGCAGCGATGAATTTGCCTGAGAATGCCGCACTACATGACAGAACCCACACCCTCGAGCTTAACCAGTCCAGCCAGTCACTCAGCAATGTCACTTCTGTGAACCAATCAGAATTCCTGACAAACAGCTTTTAGCAGCCACACCCTGCCCCCCTTGTTGCCTTTAAAAATTCACTTGTAAGGCCGGGCACAATGGCTCACACCTATGATCACAGCACTTTGGGAGGCCAAGGCAGGTGGATCACCTGAGGTCAGGAGTTTGAGACCAGCCTGGCCACCATGATTAAGCCCCCATCTCTACCAAAGTTACAAAAATTAGCCAGGTGTGGTGGCGGGCAACTGTAATCCCAGCTACTTGGGAGGCTGAGGCAGGATAATCGCTTGAACCCAGGAGATGGAGGCTGCAGTGAGCCAAGATCATACTATTGCACTCCAGCTTGAGTGACTGAGCGAGACTCCAACTAAAAAAAAAAAAAAATTCATGGGTAGCTGGGCTCAGTGGCTAATGACTGTGATCCTAGCATTTTGGGAGGCAAAACAGGAGGATCTTTTCAGCTCAGGAGTTTTAAACTGTCCTGGGCAACACAGGAAGACCCTGTCTCTACAAAAAAAAAAAATGTTTTAATTAGCTGGACATGTGGTGCACACATGGAATCCCAGCTACTCAGGGGGCTGAGGTGGAGGATCACTTGAGCCCAGGAGGTCGAGGCTGCAGTGAGCTATGTTGTACAACTGCACTCCAGCCTGGGCAACAGAGTGAGACCCCATCTCAAAAAAAATCCACTGTAGCTGCCGTCAACTGCACTGTAACTATTCAACTCAAGCTTGGCCCAATTGCCAGTCAGAAAACCTGTGACTCCAGGCGGGCTGCCGTGGCTCATGCCTGTGATCCCAGCACTTTGGGAGGCCAAGGCAGGCAGATCACCTGAGGTCAGGAGTTCAAGACCAGCCTGGCCAACATGGTGACACCCCATGTTGAAGTTTTTGTAGAAATCTTTACAAAAATATGAAAATTAGCTGGGTGTAGTGGCACATGCCTGTAATCCTTGAACCCGGGAGGTGGAGGTTACAGTGAGCTGAGGTCACTCCATTGCACTCCAGCCTGGGCAACAGAGCAAGACTCCATTAAAAAAAAAAAAAAAAAAAAAGGCCTGGAATCCATAGAAAGGAATGTCTGGGTTAAGGGATTTCCACACCAAGGTTCTCATGCAGGTAGCAGGTTTCAGGGAAAAGGGAATGTAAAGTTTCCTTAAAAGGTGTTAGTCTCTTAGCTGATTCTCTCTTGGGTCAGGACAAAGGCCTCCGAAAGGGAAGGGGTTTCTCTACGAAATGCAGACATTTCCCACAAGAGGCAGCTTCGCAGGGCTACTTCAAGATACGGCAAAGAAACGTATATGAAGTTAAAATATCTGGTTTCCTTCCTCATCTGTCATGAGATGCTGTACCACAGCCGGGCTGGAAAGGGAGCCAGGTGATACAGGGTTAAATAAAACCCATCTGAGAGACGGCACTGTTTGTAGGGCAGACTCCCCAGGCCCCTTAGGTAGGAACTTGGGCCAAAGAAGAAAAAAGGCCAGAGTTTAGTTCTCAGAACACTGATGTGGGACCCCTGCCCTCAGCCTGCCTGCCCTGTGGGAGCACCACAGACCAGACACACAAGCCAGAAGTGCCTGAGGGTGGAGGCAGCTGGGGGCAGGCCCTGGAGCGGTGGGCAGCCCTCCCAGCCTCCTGACCCAGGCTCGGACAGGTGACCACTGGCAGGCCCAGCTCCAGGCTAGCCCCAGGGACAGAGAGATCAGCACCCCCTCAACAAGAGTCTGAAAGGGTGGCAACACCAACCACTGGTGTGGAGGACCCCAGCATGGCAGAGGGGGCCACAGAGCAGGTGCGTGAGGCTGCTGGGAAGAAAGGACCTTGTGCCAAATGGGAGGTGCTATCTTCTTCAGGTGCATCTGGGTGGGAGGCTCCCACTCTGTGTCTCATCTACCATCAAAAAAGGTAGCCCCAGGTCCGCAGTGTCCAGCCGGCCTCTCTGGGACCTCTCTGTGCAGATAAGACTTTGTAACCACCCAAGGGGCTCTGCCTGCCCGCTGCATAAAGAAAGACCGTGGCATTGCGGTAAGGAAGGAGTTTAGCAGACCGAGGCCGGCCATGCTGCAGAGATGGAGCCACACAAACACCCTCATGCAAAGCTCCCAGGTTAGGGGTTTTCAAAGGCAGTTTCAGGGGAAGCGGTGGGGGAGGCCAGGTAACGGGTGCTTGCTGCTGATTGCTTGGAGCAGAGATGAAATCACGTGAAACCACAGGACTCAAAGCTGAGTCTGAGGGTGGAGTTACTTCTGAGTGAGGTCACAGATGCGGGACTGGCAGGTCCAGCTGGGTCCTGTTGGAGCCATGGTATGTCAGACATGCAAAAACACTGGGAAAGATTTCTCAGAAAGCCAACCTACTATAGTGGTGTTATCTGCAGGAATAACTGGGGAAGTTGCATATCTTATAACCTCCAGAAAAATGACCGACAATCCTTCCTGTCTGTGCCTTAGCAGGACTCAGGCAACCTCTACCTCCCGGGTTCAAGCAATTCTCATGCCTCAGCCTCCTGGGTAGCTGGGATTACAGACACATGCCACCACACCTGGTTACTTTTTTATTTTTTGGTACAGATGGGGTTTCACCATGTTGGCCAGGCTGGTCTTGAACTCCTGACCTCAATCAATCTGCCTGCCTTGGCCTCCCAAAGTGCTGGGATTACAGCTGTGAGCCACCATGCCCAGCCTAGTACCTGTTTTTACTAAAGACAAGTCATAGTAGGACAAATTTATTTAAAACAATTGTGAGTCTTGTTACACTTGCCCTGAGTGTGTACATTGTCAGCAAGAATAGTTATTTGCCATATGGGCCCTTCTTAAAAGGGGCTTTGCCAGAACTTTATTCCATAAGGAATCTCAGATTTGACTTTTTTTAAAGCCTTGAACCCAGCCATGATTTATTGGTGCCAGAAAATGCCTATATAAATTGGGCAACATCCTCTCCTCAAGGTCCCAAGATAATCTGGGGCTCCTGAGCCTGTTAGAAAGTGACATTCTTGGCCGGGCGTGGTGGCTCACGCCTGTAATCCCAGCACTTTGGGAGGCTGAGGCGGGTGGATCACGAGGTCAAGAGATCGAGACCATCCTGGTCAACTTGGTGAGACCCCATCTCTACTGAAAAAATACAAAAAATTAGCTGGGCGTGATGGTGTGCACCTGTAGTCCCAGCTACTCAGGAGGCTGAGGCAGGAGAATTGCCTGAACCCAGGAGGCAGAGGTTGCGGTGAGCCGAGATTGCGCCATTGCACTCCAGCCTGGGTAACAAGAGCAAAACTCCGTCTCAAAAAAAAAAAGATAGAAAGTGACATTCTTTACATACTACAGGCCAGAACTCTGTACAGTGACTGTGTTCACAAAGGATGAGGCCAACTTTATAATCAGCTTTGACTCCTTAAAGCAGTCTGCCTGTAGCTGAAAGCATGTCATTCCACTCAAAGCCTTGGTAAAATAACCAGTATCACCAGTTATGTCCTGCTACAAAAGGAAATGCACTCTTATTGAACTTATGCAAATAACTATACTGCTATAAATTAAGTATACTTGCAAATAGTTTCCAAATTCTAAAGAAATCAGGTAGACAGAAATGTACTTCACAGCTTACTCACAGGAGTGCACTTTACCCAATTATTAAAAGCTGTAAAAAGCTCAAAATAAAAAAAAAAGGTTTTCTAGACTCTGAAAAACAAAAGAATTAGCAGTATTTCAAACAAAAAGCGATGAAAAGATTACTCCAGTCTTCCATTTCTTCAGTCTATGTAATTTACTTCTGTTCTGCTCAGTATTCATGAACACATTAGTTCTCCATGGGAGTCTTGGAAGTTTTTCCTCTATTCTAATGTCACAATCGCCAAAATTACCAGAAACTTGCCTTCAAGAGCACCTGTCAGAGTCCTATAGCTGATTATAAAACCTCCTTGAAAATAAAGTAAAACAATTGTGGATAATGAAATCTCAGAACAGCCCCAGTTAAATTCTGGTCATCTCTGTGGCACATAATAATTTAACATAACAATCCTAATTATTACTGATAACATATACTGAGACATACCAGAATTACAGGAATCTTATCCAATTTTGGAACACCTACTATTAACACATTCATACAAATATAGCCCAAATAAAGCCAAA